GTGAGAGAAGGAACTGGGGAGAGGCACAGGGACTGGGAGGGAGAGACCGCATAGCAGACAGAGCCTCATCAGTGATGCAATTCTATGCTAACGGAGGCTGGGTGCAATTATCCGCGGAGTTCCTGATATGACTTTGGGTTTAGAATTGTCCAAATACAGTGTTGGAGGTTTATTTGGGGGAGGACGGTATAGAGGGCGCTCTACCCCACTCCAGGTGCTAAAGCAATTAAGAAAGAAAACATCAGAGTCAACACAAACATGGGCTTATTACCGGAGGGCAACGCTTCGCACAGGAGACAGATGCACCTGCCACCCCCTCCTCATGCTCACTCTAGATCTTGGGACAGCCCACCTAGGGACGGTTCCGGTCTGCAGAGCTGACCCTCTCCTGGGTCACTGCCTCCCACCCATTTGAAGGGAGGAGGGAGGACCGGGAAAGTAAGGCGCAGGGAGAGCAAGACCCCATCTGCAGAATCTTTGCTAGATCAGCCCCATACAGCAGAGAAACTGGGAGCAGTGGCGCTGCCCTCCGGACAGGTACCCTCCACCTCCGAGGGGAGAAGGAAAGGGCGAGGAGAGGAATGGAGACCCTAGGAGAGGAGGGGCGGCCTGGAGGCGATGGAGGACCTGGAGGTGCCTTGGGCAGCTCCTCTCTGGAAAGCAGAAAATCAAGCCAGGCCAGTCGCACTGTCCTGCGGTGGCCATTGTTTACATCTCCTGTATCTTACAGAAGTTTGTGCCTGTACGGCTGGCTGATCGAGGCCTTGTTTTTTTTCATCTACAGCTTCAATCACAACTGCCGTGACCTCCGCACCAGGTAAAATACTGTCTACTGTCCCTCTTGGAGTTCCAGTTAGGCTGTTCCATGGAAATTTTGTCCCCAGCACGGCCCCAGCAAAACAGAAACCCGGGCGTCCTCTCTACTGACATTTAAGTTTTCTTCTTCTTTTTCCATAGACATCTCTTCAATTTCAGCAGAAGTCACATCTCCAGCTTATAAAGGTGCTCTCGTTGTACTCTTTAAACAATGACATCTGCTTCTTCCTGGCCATGTCGTATTTAGAAAATAAGCCCACCCAATGGCCATCATGACCACAAAGTAAACCGCAGTGAAAACACACAGAAGTCCCTTCTCTCGTTTTAAAGTGTCCTGTTTTCTTTGTTCATACACAGATGTACCTTTAACCTCTGCAGAAGTGGACATACCCACTGGTAATGTTTTCTGCCTGTCACATTTCTTCAGTTAAATGCAATCAACTCTCCGGAGCTCTTTCTAGTCAACGAATGAACATAGGTCCTAAATAATTTGTCTATGGGATAACTCCCAATGTAAGCAGAAGTCCCAGTAGCCTTTTCACAGAAATTAAGCTTTCACGTTCCCTTGATTCATCCATAAACACAGAGTGGCCCCTCCGCCAGGGAGCGCCCTCTGCTTTTCGCACTGGTCTTAATCAGATGTGCCCAAGGGAGGCGAGGGCTGGGGGTC